CGATCTCTTGACCTCGTGATCCACCCTCCTCAGCCTCCCAAAGTGCTGGGATTACAGGCTTGAGCCACCGCGCCCGACCTGTTTGTTTATTTTCTTAGAGATGGTGTCTCATTCTGTCGCCTAGGCTGGAGTGCTGTGGCATGATCTCTGCTCACTGCAACCTCAGCCTCCCAGGTTCAAGCTATTTTCCTGCCTCAGCCTCCCGAGTAGCTGGGACTACAGGTGCGCACTACCACGTCTGGCTACTGTTTTTTTGTATTTTTAGTAGAGATGGGGTTTCACTAAGTTGGCCGGGCTGGTCTGGAACTCCTGACCTTACTATCTGCCCACCCTGGCCTCTCAAAGTGCTGGGATTACAGGCGTGAGCCACCATGCCCAGCCTGTTCTGCTGTTTGAAACCCTCCAATGACTTCCAATTTCCATTAGAATAATTGAGACACTCACATGACCTGCAAGGCCTTACCTAGTCTGGCCACCACCTTGCTCCTATCTTTGACTTTGCTTCTTTGACTGCTTTTCTGTTTTTGTGAGCTGAACTGTTCCCTAGCTTCCAAGTTCATGTTTTGAGGTCCTAATCCCCAAGATCTCAGAATGTGACCTTATTTGGAAATAAGGTTGTTGCAGATGTGATTAGTTAAGATGAGGTCATACTGGAGTAGTATGGGTCCCCTAATCCTTTAGGACTGGTATCTTGTAAAAAGGGTAAATTTGGACACAGACATGCACATGGGGAGAATGCCTCACGAAGACTGCAGTGATGCTGCCACAGCCAAGAACCACCAAGCCCACGAGACAGGCCTGGGATGGATCCTTCCCTACACTTTCAGAGGGAGCATGGCCCTACAGACATTTTGATCCTGGACTTCCAGATTCCAGAATGGTGAGACAAAACATTTCTGTTAAACCAGTCAGTTTGTGGTACTTTGTTACGGCAACCCTAGTGGATAATACACCTCTGTGTGCTCTCTAGCACTCTGGACTCTACAGCTCCTCCAACAGGCCAGGTGCAGTTCCTCCTCAGGGGTTCTGCATTGCAAGTTCAGGCTACCTGGTATCTTTGCACAGGTATCTGCATGGCCCTGCTTAAAACTCTCCAACGGCTTGCAATTTCCATTAGAATAATTCAGATGCCAAATACAAGTTCCATGAATTTCTCTAATTTGTTCCCTGGTATATGCTGAGTCTAGAGTAATAGGCACTCAATAAATATTTGCTGAAGGAATGAATAATATATATAAGTAAAGGCCAGGTCAGCACTTTAGGAAGCAGAGTCGGGTGAGTTGAGATCAGGATTTTGAGACCAGCCTGATTGACATGGTAAAACTCCATCTCTCCTAAAAATACAAAAGCTAACTGGGTGTGGTAGTGGGATCTGTGATCCCAGCTACTCAGGAGGCTGAGGTAGGAGAATCACTTGAACCTGGGAGGTGGAGGTTGCAGTGAGTTGAGATCGTGCCATTGCACTCCAGCCTTGGCAACAGATCGAGACTCTGTCTCAAAAACAAAAAACAAGAAATGAAAAACAAAACCATATCTATCTATCTATCTATCTATCTGTCTATCTATCTATCTATCTATCTATCTATCTATCTATCTATCTGTCTGTCTATCTACCTATCTATGTATATATGTGAAAATTTAAATCCTACAGCTTGGAACTAGGGTACCTGAGAAGGCATGCTAACCAATACATTCCTTTTGAAAATGAGGTATTCCTAGTTACCACTGGGTTCTAGAAAAAGTATGCTTTTGGACTTCAGAGACCTTAAAATGTTAATAAACACACATCACTAGTGAGAATTATGTGACTGGTCGATATTTCACTTTCATTAAGACTTTAGATTCTCTGAAATACTTAATCCTACTCTTGATAAACTTAATACTTCCTACTCACTGAGTATTTAATTAGTTTGTGTGGGAAAAGAAATTTGAAGATATACTATGCTGTACGAGAATTATCCCCTCCATATAAGAAGTTCCTAAAGTGGACAAATATTCAAATTTAAATTTAAGGAGAACTATGCCAAGTGACAACTGCTCCGTTATAAGCCACCTTGAAATTGCCATGTTGAGTACCACCAGGACCAGGTACTCCTGTTGCTTCATGTCTGCGTGGACCATGACCAAGGAGACCACGGCTTCCACGCAGAAGCTACGCAGACCAACAGTGGGAAATTAAACCCAGTCGTTCTTGTCCAGGCCCACACTGACTGATCATCTGGGTGTGACTTTCAATGCGATTCCTATTGCTTAGTTACTAGCCCTGCTACAATCCCGATACACGTTTTGACCATTGCTTTAGCAATCTCTGCTTGTCCAACTGAAAAAGGCATCATGTTACCAGGTTACTTAAGGTGTTTATTTGTAAATTGTAAAAGTAAATAGCCATGTTATAGAATATTTTGAAAATAAGGAAAAAAATTACCCAATGGTGGCCACTTTGTTAGCTGTTTTCTGTGTTCACATAGTTGTAACTAAATTATGGCCATGATTCTTATACCCTGGGTTTTCATTCCTATTACACTCATTTTTACCTTACTGCCTCATCCTAAAATGAATACTGCTTCATAATGGTGTTCCAGTGGTTGCCTCAAATTCAGTTAAGTAGATGAAGCATAATTGACATTTTCCGACTGTGAGAACTTTAGTCACAATATCTCTGCCCCTACCCCCAGCTTTCTGCTATTTTAAACTGCAATAACTACACATTTTAAAAGCATCTTCTGTAAGTTGTGTAATTCTTTACTATAAATGTCTAAAAGTAGGATCCTCAGCCGGGAGGAAAGGGTTAACTGAGCAGATCTCGGCCACTTAAACATTCCCCGGGAAGGGTGTTTTCATGACTGACTCTTGGCTGGCTCCTTGGAACTGAGCCCGTACAATATTCTGACTGGTAAGAGCATTTTGCATGCTGGGAGGTCTTCAGCCATACTGAACTCCATTTAGGTTTTCCATTTAGTTTATCTTAACAATGGGATTTACAGTGAACACCTGTGTTCCCTCTGTGGGTTGGAGGTCAGTAACTGAAGTCAGCCATGCAGGCACTGTATGCATATGTGACTGGCCAGCAATAAAAACTCTAGACCACTTAAACATTCCTCAGGTGAGCTGAGGTGTGGTTGCCTGTGTCATCATTCATCCTTGCTGGAGGAATTAAGCACATCCTCCGGGACATCACTGAGACTCCACTGAGACAGGAGTGTTGGAAACTCATGCCTGGAAGTTTCCTCCAGACTTTGCTCCAAGCACAATCACGTGTGAGTCCACTTAGTAAATCACCACGCTTGGAGACCCTTGACACCCCTGGCTATACTGACTGGTATTCAGTTCCAGGTAATGAAAACTACTCTAGCTGATTAAAGCAAAAAGTGTTTATTTTCATGTATTCTGTGGTTTCCAAAATGGTTTAAAATTGTTTACTATCCCATATTCTGTGGTTTCCAAAGTTGTTGGAATTGCTAAAAAAGTAGATGGAGCTTCCAGAAACCATTTCCAACACCAGCATTTCACTGATTCTGCCAGAATCAGAGAGCTACCAAACTAAGATGCTACTTGCTATAAAAATCATACTGCCTTAGCTGGGATCCATGCCAGCAAAATGTGTGCCTCACATCTTACCTGGCTGCCCTCTTAACTCAGCTCTGAATTCAGGTATCTGACATTGTAGCTGCAGGGGCATCTGGAAATGTAGCATTTTGCTTTTACGGTGCTCAAAGATACAAACAGGAAATCAGAATTTATGCTGAGTGAGCTAATCCACAGTATCTAACACACTGTGTTCAAGGGTAAGAACATTTTAACGTTTCTGGGTACACACAGCCAAATTGCTTTTCCAGAAGGCTGGAAAAATTCACAATGGCAGTAGCAATGAATAAGGCTCAATTTTCCCAATACTTTACAGTTTCCTGATGAGGGAAAGATAATCTCAGCAGACAAAAACCAAACACTGAGTCATAAGGCACTGTGGGTGCCCCCATTTTCTTGCTGTTTTTTTTTTTTTTTTTGAAGAAACAGATTCCTTAAGATTGTGGTTAAGGGTAATCCCTTGCTTGAAAGCTCGGAATTCTAAGTCGATTTATAAATCAACTATTATATGATGGTGGCTTAAAAACAATCAACGAACCAACGCAAGGCACTCATCTATGCAATGCTGGGCTAAGCAATTTTGGTTATTGTTGAAAAATACTGAGTAAAGTAAGGGGAAGGCTTATTTTACTTTTATACGTCTCTCCGATTTATACTTTTCTGCTCCCACAGTTAAGAGAATTGTCAGGTTCCTCATCTTGGCCCTCCTCCAGGCCCTGTGTCTCTTCAATCGGTCCTATATAATTACCACTGGTTGCCTTAGAAATAGGGATTCAGACTTGGGGTCAGCTGCTTTGATCTTTGAGGTTGAGATTTCTGCTTGAGAATTTTAGCTGTTCAAAGATGTAACCTCATCCAGATGTCCAGGAACACAGTAACTGCAATGATGTTTATATACACAAGGGATGACACAAGTAACAATGACATAAACGTCCTCATTCCTCAAAGGTACTTACAACTTTACAATCACTGGGTCGTGGAACACTTGGTCAATTTGTTAAATAGTGATAGGAAATGAATACAGTGTGTTTATGATACATTGTCACAGTGAGACAGTTTTCTTCCAGGTATTACATATGTATGGAGAGAGAAACACTGCAAGGGAAGAATGCTAAATGCATTAGCAATTAGCACTGGGGGTGAGAGAGTGAGTGGCTTTTACTTTATTCCTTATAGATTCTGGATTGTTTGAAAATTCTAAAATGAGCATATCTTACTTTGATAAATGAAGATTTTAAAATGTGAGGAAAAAAAATCCCTAAAAAAAGTATTTCCTAATACCTAAAGGCAGATTTAAATGACATAACTGATAAGAATGTTTTTATAAATTGTGCAGTATTATGAAAATGAAATGTGGTAAATTCTCCTAAGTCCACAATCTCCCATCCTTACTTAGAATTAATAAGTCTGATGCCTTTAGGTATAAGAATTTTATTTTAAAGGAATTTCTGTGGCAGGACATATGTTTATGGTACTTTTACTAAAAGTCACTTACAATGATCAAATTATAACAATTTTTGCAATAAGCTCTCATTAAATTTTCCTAAAAGTAGAAAAAGGACACACTATATACCATTTTGAACTTAATTATTTCTTTAAACTCTCAAAATAATTCAGTGTAAAATGTTAGTTTCAAAGACAATTTATGGGAAATTATAAAGCAACTATAAAGTTCTTTATAATAAATCCAAGAAATTTGTACAGGTTGAACATTTTTCAAAAGCATGAGTGGATTATAAATACACTGTGGCCATCTGATGAATTTAGAGGCACTTTAAAAGGTGTCTAGTTGAACTACTAGAAAGGACATGTTTGAGGAAATTCAATCTGTAAGTCTAATGCCAGTGTTCATTTCTTCCTGCCAAAACAAAAAATGTATTGGGAAAATCTATGAGCAGCGTGATTAGTTGGATTTCTTTCCTTCTCTTTTTTTAGAGACAGGGTCTCATTCTGCCACCCAGGCCAGAGTGCAGTGGTGTGATCATAGCTTACTGCAGCCTTGAATTCCTGGGCTCAAGTGATCCTCCCTCCTCAGCCTCCCAATGTGCCGGGATTAGAGGCGTGAGCCGCCATGCCCAACCTAGTTAAATTTCTTCATAAAGATTCTTTTATAAGTTGTGCTAATACCTGGAAGGCCTAAAACAGAAAAAAGATTAGAATTAATTCAATTAAGATACTACATTAGAAAACTCTGTAATAACTTTGAAAATCCAAAGAAAATATCTGTCTAAGGTCGAGAAGGCGTTGAAAAGTCAGGTTTAACATCAACTTTATCTGTGCAGGATGCCATCAATGTCTACTAAAATACGAAGCCTGAAGAACATCAGATTGCCAGGATTGTTGTTTTGTTCTTGCAGCCTTCAAGATCATTTTCCATTTTATCTGTAACATGGATTATTTTAGATTTTTATATAATCTCTCACCTGCATTTTATATAGTTTCAATGTCCAACTCCACAAATATATTAAAGCAGAGAGAACTTATGAAAAACATATTTAATGACATGAGAAAGAAAGTAAATAAAGAACATGCCCAAAAAGCCCATTTCCAAGAGTAAATATAAACTCTTCTCAAGATTAGTGGCATGTTCAATTGATAGCAGTCCTGTTTGATTTCCATATACACAGCTTATTTTGGTTCAAGCTAGATTGTGATTAACTTAAGAATATTAACTTAAGAATGTGATTAACTTAAGAATATATAATAAAAATATTAAAAATCTATTTGACCCTTGCTGATACTTCTTTCTTCAGAGAGACAGACGGATAGGCATCATGAATTCGTACTTCTGGCTCATGTTAAATCCATAAAGGAAGGAAAGAGGTTTTCCTCATAACTTGACAATTAACCCAGCTCAGTAGGTTGTGACACATTATTCATGCAGACAATAAACTTTAACTCTAATTTAGTCTCATTTCTATAGAAGTCTAGCAACAAAGTAAAATGATAGTTTTTTTTAATAGTAGTTCAGGAGTGATGAACAAATATCTGGATTTTAGAAACCAAAACAGATATTAAGTAATGTCCTAATTCACGAAGTAAACACATGCATTAAGAAACAGAACTGCTAGCCAGTGTTACTCCAAAAAGAATACTCTACTTACCACATCCATCTGTTCCGGAGAAGCTGAAGAGAAGGAAGCTCTCAAATAAGGGCTAGGAGCCGAGCTATCCACGTAGAAAGCATTTCCAGGGAGCATTAACACCTAGGAGAGTTTGTGGAAGGTAAGAAAGGTACCACGCAAGAAAAACTCAGATAATATAGTTAAGCCTAATCTCGGAGTAGGGGAAGATGTTTTAAGTTTAAAAGCAGTGAAAGAAATCACAAGAAAAAATACTAATTTATCTAAAAATTACATATGTCATACAATAAAGAAAACTAAACACAGAGAAACTGAAAAAAATGTTCAGAATAAATATGGCAACTGCTATCTCTTCTCAAAGTATCAGGAATACAGGGGAACTGAGAACACTCAAATTCCAGCTTTAATGTAGAAAGCGCAGCTCACTAAAGATAAATGGTAATAAACAAGCAAATGTTTACTACTCTAACTAGAAAAGCAACTTTTAAGTTAGTAAGTTTGAAGGTACTTTTAAGTTGGGCCCTGAAAGATAAATTAGGTCAGGCAAAAAGCAGTATTTGAGTATAGAGAGAGTAAAGGGCCTGAGATGGGAAGAAAATTGGTGCAAGAAAGGAGGTAAAAAATTTAACACATAAAATGAAGGAATAAAAAATTTAATAGATAACATTAAGTAAGCCTGTTAAGATGGGGTGGTGGGAACAGCTGCTGTTCTTGATGGCCACAGGGGCACACAACTCACTGACTATAACTGCCATTTCCTCTTCTTCCTGGGCATCACATGTACCCTATTTCCCAGCCTCTTCCTAGTTGTGTGACCACAAGAGCGAATCCTAACCAATGGATGTGAGCAGAAGCCATGTAAGCAATGTCTAAGGCTGACCCATAAAAATAATCCCATGTATGATCGACTATGCTCTTTCCATTCTGTAGTTATCTTGGAATCCGTGTGTTGACTGAAAAGCAATGAGATATAAGAAACCAGGGCCTCTGAATCACTGTTGGAACACAGGAGGATGCAGGCCACATCTCAGAATTTTATGTGAGTCAGAAATAAACTTCTATTGTTCATTAAGTCTTTGAGATTTTGAAGTTTATTTATTTTTTTATTTTTTGAGACAGCCTTGCTCTGTCGCCCAGGCTGGAGTGCAATGGTGTGATCTCAGCTCACAGCAACCTCCACTTCCTAGGTTCAAGCAATTCTTCTGCCTCAGCCTCATGAGAAGCTGGGATTACAGGAGTACACCACCATGCCTGGGTAATTTTTGTAATTTTTAGTAGAGACAGAGCTTCGCCATGTTGGCCAGGCTGGTCTCAAACTCTGACCTTGTGATCCACCCGCCTCAGCCTCCCAAAGTGCTGGGATTACAGGTGTGAGCCACCACACCTGACCTTGAGGTTTATCTTCTATGGTGGTTAGGGTTGACTAGTACAATTATGATCTTCAAAAGCATTAACTGTTTGTTATACTGTCTGTTAAAATAGGAGTTGGGAGTGAAATGATTTGGATTACTCTGGGGAAAAGATTTCAAGGCAGAAGTTGAGTTTCTCTGTTCTAGTTAAAATGAAAGCTGGGCCGGGCGTGGTGGCTCACGCCTGTAATCCCAGCACTTTGGGAGGCCGAGGCAGGTGGATCATGAGGTCAAGAGATCAAGACCATCCTGGTCAACATGATGAAATCGTCTCTACGAAAATACAAAAATTAGCTGGGCGTGGTGGCATGCGCCTGTAGTCCCAGCTACTCAGGAAGGCTAAGGCAGGAGAATTGCTTGAACCTGGGAGGCAGAGGTTGCAGTGAGCTGAGATTGCCCCACTGCACTCCAGCCTGGAGACAGAACAAGACTCTGTCTAAAAAAAAAAAGCCGCATTTCTCCCAGTAGCATGGAAAAGTTTTGGGATATACTAGAAACAAGAAGCTGAAAGAAAAGGGAGCAGTAATAATTTCTTTGCAAGATAACCAACATCTGCGCTAAAGAAGTGGGGATAAAGCTGGAGATTATTTAGAGAAGGTAAAAAAGGAACACGTAGCAGGATCTAGGGAATAAATGAAGAGGACTGAAGAAGGTACAGTGAAATACAAAGTCTACATCCTTAGCGCCTAAGACAGACACACTTACAGATAACCACTTACCACATACTCTGATGATAACGGGCATTGACAGAAAAGCAAAGAATGTATCAAATTAATTATACTACAATGTATTTATTTGAAATAAGTCAATTAACTGTTTAAGTACTTACTATGTGCTGTGACTAGGGATGGAACAATGAATAAAGTCTGAGTCCTGCCCCTAGGTAAGATGGTTAAGAGAGGATATAGCTTTGCAAGGTGGTGGAGGCAGGACTGAAGGCCAGGCAGTCTGTCTCTAGATCTGACTTCTAGAGCACCTTGTGTCTTAGGCACTAACATGGCACTTGGCCATCATCAATCCAATCTGTCCTTCAGTACTTACGAGTCAAGATAAAAGTGAATCTGGCAACAGATTTCAGTGTGTATAGAAGACTGACACACATACTAATGGCTTTAATGGAGAAGGAATAATTTAGCTGGTACACTGGAAAGCGACACAGAAAAATATTTTGAATTTTCAGCTTACTTGATGCCCCAAATGAAACTTACGTAGACTTATAATTTAAATACAAAAAGAGGGGGAAAAAAAAGAAGCATAGGAAACATTCTGTGAGCCAATTTTAAGTCAAAAAAATCAGAATACAAACTTTTCTGTATTATTTTTAACCATGTAAAATAACTGCACAGCCAAAATACTAGAACAAGCTCTTCGAGAAACTATACTATAAATGGTCACAAAATCTGGGTGGTAAAATCATGGGCTATTTACAAACTTTTCATTTGGCCCTTATACATTTTCCAAATATCCTCCCATGAGTATGATTTCTTTCTTTTTATTTGTTTTGAGACAGTCTCGCTCTGTCACCCTGCCTGGCGTGCATGGCGCAATCTCAGCTCACTGCAACCTCCACCTCCCGGGTTGAAGCAATTCTCTGCCTCAGCCTCCTGAGTAGCTGGGATTACAGGCACCCACCACCATGCCCAGCTAACTTTTGTATTTTTAGTAGAGACGGGGTTTCACCATCTTGGCCACGCTAGTCTCAAACTCCTGACCTTGTGATCCACCCGCCTCAGCCTCCCAAAGTGCTGAGATTACAGGCACAAGCCAGCACACCCGGCCTTTATTTTCATGGTCAGAAGAAAACCCTTCATTTAAATACTAGTGACTAATGCTTTTTGAGCCCTGAGTATGTGCCACATAGTAGTGTAAGGACTTTACATATATTAACTCACTGAATCATCAGAGTCACCTTATGAGGGAGGGATTCTTATTACCTCTGTTTTACAGAGAAAGCACAGAAAGGGTAACCTACTCAAGGCCACTCATCCCCTACGGGGTGATGCTGGGATTCAAACCCAACAAGGCCACCCCAGAGACTTCCCTCAGCCACTATGCTAATCAGTAGCCGGGATGAACAACTGTATTTCCACTAATCTAGACCAGCTGGATAATTATGTAACCCAAAACCTATTATGATTCTGATAATGCAATAAAATATCTAATATTAGAACATGATGAGTTGGGAGGCGGGCAACGAGAAACATTCCTTTCCATTTCCATGCAAGTAAAATAATACTTTAGAGAAAAAGCACAACCTTTCTTTAGGTTTCCCCGCCCTTCACCTCCCAGCTTTACCCCCATCTTAATGGCTTTTTCTTCAATCAGTTCTTTTACATCTTTAATGCCTTTAACTTTAATCCATAAAAACATTCCAGCAGCAGGAACATGCCATTCTGCCAAACCTATAAACAAAAGAAGAGAATAAACGTCTTCCAAAGTAAGGCATTTTGGATGATATCAAGTGTGTTTAGTGGCGTAACTGTAGTAATTAGAAACTAGGACTCCTAAAGAGTTCCTTCAGTCATAGCATTAAAAATATCATTTTATGAGCCTTGAAAATTGATGTCTGGGTTTGATTTCAAAGAGTAAGTGTGGGTGAGGGAGGAAGGCAGAGGTAAGGTGGGCAGTGAATAGCTCCCGTGTGCATATTTACAACGTGGTCAGTCTTAGGGTAGCACAAGAAGGCCCACTCCTCTCTCCTTCACTTAGAACCATGCCTAGACAAACATGGGTATTTCAATTTAGAAGAGAATTCGTCCGTTATTTATGGATTTTTCCAGCATTTTAACTAATCCTATTATTCTTGCAATAGTTTAGAAGTCCAATGAGTTAGCATTTTATTCAGAATGTAATTAATTATGAAAAGAAATACTAAAAATTCAAGAATTCCAGAAGCAGGTGTGGGCTTTAGATTTCATTATTAGGATAGAGAAATCAATAACAAAGCATAATTGTTTTCAATTTAAATTACCATCTTTAAAAAAAAAGACCTTGCTGTTGATTCGAAGTTTTTCTTCAGTATTATTATGCAAAGTGGTAATATAGTGCTCTTGTCAAAAAGATACTATATCTGTTTTTTTTTGGGGGGGCGGGGGGGAGACAAACTTTCGCTCTTGTCACCCTGACTGGAGTGCAATGGCATGATCTCAGTTCACTGCAACCTCTGCCTCCCAGGTTCAAGCGGTTCTCCTGGCTTAGCCTCCTGAGTAGTTGGGATTATAGGCACCTGCCACCATGCCCAGCTAATTTTTATATTTTTAGTAGACACGGGGTTTCGCCATATTGGCTAGGCTGGTCTCAAACTCCCAACCTCAGGTGATCCACCCTTTGGCCTCCCTAAGTGTTGGGATTACAGGCATGAGCCACCACACCCAGCCACTAATTCTGTTTTTATCAAGACTTTATAGAAAATAAGACAGGACTGAAATAAGGAATTGCTATTTCTGGTTTACTATTATTTATATCAAAGCCATTTGAATAATATAATTAAAGCCATGTGATTAATCTGACCTTTTTTCATAATAGAAAAATGATCTAAAACATCTTATAATCAAATCAGCAATAGATAATGTTACAGAGATAAATGAGGTTAATGATTGGAAGGCAACTAATTTGTTAATGGGACATCTGCCTTTGTACAGTTTAGTTAGAGAAGGAAGAATAGTTTGATAATTTTACCCTTTGAAGTAAAATTTTGAAATAACTAAAATTTTTGAAAATGGGTATTAGTAAACTTAAAGTAAGTTAGTGGTTGATTTTTAGATCATTTTTTTGAAAATCACAAATTATTTGCAGCAGACAGGTAAAGTAAATAGGAAAGCCTGTGTCCAGGTTTGTCAAATGTGACTTGACTTCTGAGGTCATTCATGGAGTAACGTTTCCTCGGCAAGAACACTCCTGCACTGTTTCTTTCCCACCAGGATTGTTAGTAGTATGGAGCGTTTAGCCCCTACCTTCCAGGTGCTACTGTTTATCATAAGGACGAATGTACGTTCCACTCACCAGTTAACCACTTGTCTGCAGCTGCCAATATTGCATCCTTCTGGTTACTATAGAAATCAATAACCCTAGAAGAAGAAAACGACGAAAAGGATGTGCTCAGTACATTGAACACAGAAGTAAAAAAGGCTCCAGAGTCCAGGCTATAAGAATGTTTTCCATCTTGATTAAAATGTTGAATGCTTGATAGAAAATCAGAGCATATTTGTTTCACTTGTCTGGTGATCAATTTTAACCGCTGTCTTTTTTTCTTCATTGTAGAATAATTACAAAATGAAATTTAATAAAGAGAAGTCTATTTCTATGTCACATGAAACCTAGGAGTTGCAGGATCAATCTTTGTGTTTAGTTGTCTCAATACTCGTTCTCATCAGTCAGGATAAAAGACAACACTACTGAAATGATGAATCACTGGTCTGGGAATGTGAATACCCCATTCCTCCTTATTTCTCAATTTCCTAGGAGGTACCACATTTACACAGCTAAAATGATCCATAACTTGTACCAATATACAGACTATTTAGAGAAATTATGTTCACATTCATCTTTACTTGAGCTAAATTCTGTGTCATGTGTCCATCACAATTAATCATTATTAAATAAAATATTTATGTGTACAAATAGTTTACTGCTTTCAAACCCCAGCTTGAATGCTAAGAAGACTTTCTAGTTAAAGAGCTAACAAAACCAATAGACTTTTGACAATATGTTCCTATTGTCTCTCCTTTCCTAGGATACTTGGGAAGGAAGAATAAATCAATGCTGTAGCTGATCAATGCTGTAGCTGTTCATAAATAAATGAACAAAATCATTTGTTTTTGTTTAAAGAAATGATACAGTACCTATCTACAAAATCATTTTTGTTTAAAGAAATGATACAGTACCTGTCTACGTGAGCCATGAAACCCTCTTCTCCCCATTCATGTAGAAGCTGTGATATCATGAGCTAAAAGGGTAAAATCATAAATATCATATTTCATCCCCTGAAAATGTAATTTTTGCCATAGGCAACACACAAATCACTTTTGATTACATGTAAACCACAAGCATATATAACAAGCTGAATCTAGCTTATACAGCGAGTGATTTAAAACAAATGTCAATGACAATATTAGTAAAAATAATACTGATATAGTACTTGTTATATAGCAGGCACTACTGTAAGATACTAATATATTTTACCAAATGTAATACATCTCGATTTTACTAATGAGGCACAAGGTTTAAGTTTTTTCTGAAGTCCCATAGCGTCAATTCAGTCAGACTAGCTCCTGACCCATGCTGTTAATTGCCGTACTATACTGCTTCTCTAACTATAAAAATGTACAGTAGATGTGTAAATTTACATGATATATTTGGAGATTATTTAAAATAGAAGTTCTAGGCCGGCATGGTAGCTCATGCCTGTAATCCTAGCACTTTGGGAGGCTGAGGTAGGCAGATCACCAGAGGCCAGGAGTTAGAGATCAGCCTGGCCAACATGGTGAAACTCTGTGTGTACTAAAAATACAAAATTAGCTGGGCAAGGTGATGTGAGCCTGTAATCGCAGCTACTCAGGAGACTGAGGCAGGAGAATCACTTGAACCTGGGAGGCGGAGGTTGCAGTGAGCTAAGGTTGTTTTACTGCACTCCAGCCTGGGTGACAGAGTAAGACTCTGTCTCAAAAAATAAAACTAAAAAAGATTTAAAAAGAAACTTAAAATGTTATAAATTGATAGTGAACTTGTGTTTATAACAGATACAAAAAATATGAAAAAAAAAATCCCCTACTTGGCAAAACATGGGGCCATTTGCACTTTATGGAACATACAATATCAACCAAGTGTCTTATTCTGCACAAACTTTTCTATTCTATTCATATTCTTGTGACCTGCAAGGTTGTGCTATGGAGGGATCCAATAATTTCTCAAAGTTTGTGAGGAAATGTACACATTCTCTTAAATTAATTTTACTTCATTTTAATTAAAATGCATTCCAACCAATTTCGTTAGGAAAGATTAGCATGTCTGCAAAGAAGGCAAACTACGAATCACTAAACAGGCTTGGACTTTCTGCTCTCTACCGTCTATTTTTTAAAAATTCTCATCTGATTACAAAAATATATATATATATATTTCCTGAATTGTCCTTACCTGGTTAAAAGTGCTGGGGTGCATTGTTGAAACTTGTATGTGTAAAATAACTCTTTCTATTAAGGGTTTTGGACCAGTTAAAAATCCTATTCTCAACCTGTGTCAAAAGAGAAAAGGCATGATGCCAATTCCATATTAACAATTAATACATATCACTTTATGTATTAAGTCATAATCACTTTAATGAATCATGTCTGATTTCATTAGACAGACAAAAGGATCTAGGTAATTAAAACATTCTAATAACAGGAACTACTTCTTATTTCAAAAACAGTTAAAGTGTACATTTAAAATAAGACTGACCATGTATTTATTTCCAAATGTGCCCTTTCATACCTGATATCAAAAACCTGACTGGTCCCACTACAACTTTAGACAAATGGCCAAGAATCTTTGACTACTGGAGGTGAATAAAGAGAGAAAAGGCCTATGTTAATATTAATAATCAAACTGGTACTTTAAGATAAGTAGAATACATGCATCTTAAGGGAAAAGAATGGTCTGGACTGAAAGATACCAAGGTATTGTCTCTGGCTCTATTAGATCTCGCATCAAGTTAGAGACATAGGGCCTTACCCAGAGGAAAGGATTTTTGAAAAAGAGTCAGTTCTGATGACACGTCCATCAACATCCATGGAAAGAAACGTTGGTGCCCTGAACTTAAAATGAAAAATAGAAAAATGCTATTGGTTTGAAAGCTCTGTTAGTCACTGTACGATTACTCTGTATAGAGAGCAGACAGGACATGGATCTGGGTAACAATAGTATGCATATTCCCTCACCTTTACTTCAATACTTTAACATAGAATAACAAAGATGCATGTTCTTTTATTAGCATCTGCTTGTCTTCATGGCTTTTCTGCCAAAAACACACACCAGGGCTTATTTATTTGCTCCAGATGCCATTATTATAAATTTAGGGACACTTCAAACAGGCCCTTTTTGCCCCAGAGGTTAAAATCCAGTATTAACAGACTTAAAGGAGGGACTCAAGAAAGCCTAGTTTGAACAAGACCATCATGAAGATGGCCAGCAGCACTCCGCGGTGTTCAGAGAGAGAACGCTGATCCTTAGGACTGACGGAAAGAAAAACAATGAGAATAAAGATGAGAAATGAGTCAATATGAAATACTGACTTCAACATTTACTTTAAAAGTAGCTACGAATGAGAAAGGGAATTTGCTGGCATGCTGAGGGTGGGAGGCAGGGGGCAAATGTGATGTTTTAGGAAATGCTATAGAGAAATCAAGAGTTCTTGTCTCTTCTTGCTATGTTTAAAGGGCAAGCAGAATCCAAGTATAAGTTCTTTGCAGCCCTGAGAGCAAAGAAAGTGTTGGCTTTTGAAGAATCAGGCTTTGGTCTTACCAGGATTATCATCTATCAGAAAAAAGTAATCATGAACGGTAGCACATATACATAATGTAGCAAGAATGAATCTAAACGCCCATCACTCTGGAGTAAGATCCAGGACATAAAGGGCAGGTGGCAAATGTGTGATGCTGCCTCGTGTCCCAGGGGGACACTGCCAACGGAGCGCAGCCCTCTTTCTCCTCAGCTTAAGCACAGCTTCCTAATCCTTCTCAGACATCACTGTAATCAGCCATTACAAACACACAGAAGTTGACAGCCAAAGATGAAACTCAGTTCACATCCCTGGGTGATGCCTGAGGAGCTGTGAACCCGGATGTGCAGTTCAAGACATCCATCAGCCCCGACTCACTGTTTTCCCTAGTGCCTGGTACAGAATGCCATTACTGTTTTAAAGGTAAGTAATTTCCGGAAAGAGCAGTAATACCAAAAAAGAAAGGCACTAATCCCATAATAAAACTGGAAGATTGAAAACTGAAGTAGAAACAGACTAATCTTCATTCATTTACTTTCCATGTAAAAGTGGATTTGTTCTGACTCAGTAGTCAGGCTAATATCTAATTCAGTGCAGTAATTTACAACAACTTATCTTCTAATCGTGAAATAAGTTCACATCATCACTTACCTTGTTAAACTGGAGAAAATAGTAAGGATCATCTTCTATTATGAGGAAATCATATTTCCTTGCAAGCTAAAAAAGGTTGAAGTAATTGTTTATTTCTTAAAGCAATCTATTTCTTAAAAGTGATCTAAAATTAAATTCACTTGGAATCGTAATTCTTTGTACTCTTTACTCATTCAAGAAGCTACTGTGTGTCTATTGTCTTAGACAATGAGGACAAAAAAATCAACAAGGCATTAAAGGCTCTTATTCTCAAGGAAGTTAGATTCCAAGGGGAAAGACAGAATATAGATAGGCCAGTGGATCATGAGCATTCAAAACATTAGATGAGTGGTTTTATGTATTTATTTTTTGAGATGGCATCTGGCTCTGTCGCCCAGGCTGGAGTGCAGTGGTGCAATCTTGACTCACTGTAACCTCCGTCTCCTGGGCTCAAGCAATTCTCCTGCTTCAGCCTCCTGAGTAGCTGCGATTACAGGCATGCAATACCACACCCAGCTAATTTTTGTATTTTTGGTATAGATGGGGTTTCACCATGTTAGCCAGGCTGGTCTCAAACTCCTGACCTCGTGATCCACTCGCCTCAGGCTCCCAAAGTGCCGAGACTACAGGCATGAGCCACCGCACCAAGCTAGATGAGTGGCTTTAAAGTGCTGGGCAGAGCATTACAACAGGTAAGGGAGGGAGTGACAGGGTAACCAGGTAACACCAGAGCTTAAAATGACAGGAGGAAGTCAGTTCTGCAAATATCAGGGAAAAAGAATCTAGACTGAGGGATGAATAAGGGCAAAGGCCCCAGGTTGAACAAGATGCTTGACATGGTTAAAGGCTAAAATGGACAGTGCAGCTGCCCTAAGGGCAGCGGGAATGATAAGATACAGCTTGAGAACAGACCTACTATGTTACATGGCTCTGCAAGGCAGATAAAAGAATTCATGCTTTGTTTTAACTGCAAGGGGAAACCGCTAGAGGGCTGTAAACAGGAGAACCCAGAGCCTGGCTTTATACTGAGATATCCACAGGGACCTACATGGCTGGCTGCTGTGTGAAGTGTGTGACTGGTCAGAGGGCAGGGTGAAATGCAGCTGGTCCAGTGAAGAAGGCATTGGAGGAGTCCAATGAGGGCAGGCAGTGGCTCAGTGATGGGGACAGTGATGGCAGCAGAGAAAAATGGATGGACTTGGATAAGCTCAGTGGTAGAGTCCACAGGATGAGCCAGATGTGAGGGATGCATGGTACAGAGGAGGGAAAGACAGGAATGAAGGGTAACTGTTCACAGCTGCACTCTTTATGGAGATGAAGAATGTGAGAGGCTGTGGATCAGAGGTCTGGGGTGGGGCTGTGGAAAATCAGGAGTTCTATTTTGGGCGTGTTAAGTGTGAAATACTTATTAGACATCTCTGTGGTGATATCAGTAGAAAGTTGGATACAGAAGCCTGGGGCTCAGGGAAGAGGTAGGAGCCAGGCAATGTAGCAGTCATTGTGTATATAATGGAATAGCCACAAAACTGAACGAGGCTGTCTGGGAGAGTATGCAAACAGAGAAGAGAACTCAGGACAGAGCCCGGGAAGCACAAAAATAAGAACATGACTATATATATTTAGAGCCAGGTCTTGCTATAGCCCAGGCTGGTCTCAAACTCCTGGGCTCAAGCGATCCTCCCACCTCAGCCTTCCAAAGTGCTGGGATTACAGGCGTGAGCCACTGCACCCAACCTGAAACAATATTTTGAACCTAAAATTTTTCTAAGTAAAAGGAACTGGCTGAAATCTTCTTTATGATTCCACTGCACGTGACTAACTTCTAGAGTTTAACATGGGTTTGGTATTTATTTTCAAAAGCTATTTGTAGTGAAAGGTTGGGAGCACAGTCATGTACATAAAAGAGACTTTCTAAAAGGCACGTTTCTCTTATTTTTCAAAGATTTCTGTAGAGCTTAATATATATTTGATACTTAAAAAATGTTTATAGAGAAAAGAGGCATCATAGTTATCTCAGAGATTACACAAAAGAGGAGGATGCCTCTTATTTTTAAAGAATTCTTGGTAACTTAAGATGACAAAGAATAGGAAGCAGAAGAGATAAGTTAACAACACAGAAAATAATAGAAATCAAACTTGGGGTAAAATTTAAAATAATTTCATAAAATTTAACATCAGGCCAAGGATGTTATTTCTTTTGTATTAAAATATCAACTATGGGAAAAGAAAAATTTCATAAGTAATGAAAGATGCAGAAATTTATTTGGTCCAAATTTATTAGAACCTTGAGTATACATGATTTCCCTTTATTAAAAATTATATTCCTTGAAGGCAAAAAGACTAATAAGGGATTTTGCATAGTGCTTTTCTAAAAAGTCAAAAAAAAAAAAGGAACATAACTACTTTCACCCATTCTTCTATAATACCTCATAGATTTCCTTTTTGCGTTCACTTGTTAATGAGTTTCCAGTAGGGTTGTTACCATTTGGAACAGTATAAAGCAATTTGGGAGTGTTTTTCTTGGGATTCTTTGAATCTTCTGGTTTCCATCTGGAAAGTACATCTCTGAGGGAATCTGGAACGATCCCATATTCATCACTGGCAACATTAATAATGTTGCAGCCCAGTGGGTGCAGCTGTTGAGCACAAAAGAAAGCCTGAGTCAGACATGATTACAAAATGTAAGTGCTATTTTTTTTTTCTTTCTAACTAAGAACTTGCCCATTTTTACCCTTAAAAATATATAAACCTGGCCTGGTGGCTCACACCTATAATCCCAGCACTTTGGGAGGCTGAGATGGGCAGCTAACAAGGTCAGGAGTTTGAGACCAGCCTGGCCTATATGGTGAAACCCTGTCTTTACTGCAAATACAAAAATTAGCCAGGCACGGTGGCGTGCACCTGTAGTCCCACCTATTCGGGAGGCTGAGGCAGAAGAATTGCTTAAACCCGGGGGCCAGAAGTTGCAGCGAGCCAAGATCATACCACTGCACTCCAGTCTGGGCGACAGAGCAAGACTCCATCTCAAAATAGAAAAAGGAAAAAAATATATATGTATGTGTGTGTGTGTGTGTGTATATATATGCACTAAGCTCTGAGCTCCTAAGGGTTGAGGTTATACATTTTAATTCTATTGTTCCCCTGGAGCAGATTCCATTAGTGTTCAAATATACCTCCTGTCCCTTCCCAGAGAATTATGTAACACTTTCTTGCCCCATTTCTCTGGTATGGCCATGTGTCTTGCACTGGGCAAAAAATTCGGGGCAGAAGCTTTAAAATCCAGTGTGTAGTTCTCTACGTCTCTTTGCCCTCTGCTCTAAAATTGGCCATGTTTCAGACAAGAGGTTGCTTCTGTCAATTTTGGGCTTAGAAGATGTCATGGAACTGAGCCCCAGCAGTCTTAACGGATATGGAGTGTGAGGGAAATCAAGGTGTATTGGAGTCATTCATTACACAACACAGTCTAGCTTCTTCTGATGGAATTACCTTTTCTTCTGATTTTTTTCATTATTATTATTACTTTTTCAACTTTCATTTTAGATTCAAGGGGTACATGTGCAGGTTTATGACATAGGTACTGCATGATGTTGAAGTTTGGGGTACGATTGCTCCTGTTACCCAGGTACTAAGTACAGTACCCAAGAGGTATTTTTTTTCAAGCCTGTGCCCCCTTCCTGCCTCTCCCCCGCAGTCGGCCTCAGTATCTATTGTTGCCATCTTTATGTCCATGATGAGTACCCATGAGTTATCTTTATAATTATAATTACAGCTGGGTTATAAAGTAGGAGTTTTATAAATGAATATTTTTTGACAGAGTAAATAAATCACATGATTTATTTACTGTTGTGTTCATACATAGAATAGTCACAAGCAGGGGTGATATTAAAGATGTTTAACAAGTGGTATTGCATGGGGATATCAGGTACTGTGCAGGCTGGAATAGGGCCCTGTAGGCCTCCCATTATGCCGACACTAACTCTGGACCATGACCAGTATGGTCCTAGGAGACGAGTCAGGGAAGCCAGGGTGGTGGCGGGACATGAATGGGATGAGCAGACCACCAATCAGTACAGCAGAATTTCCATATTCCACCAACTGCTAAGGTTGAACTGGCACGTACTGGCATTGCTTACAGACTTAGTATTCTACAAATATTGTGGAATCTCATTCATGGTTGAGTATTAAAGAAAAAAACAACTTAAATAATAATTGAATAAGGTTCTCAAAAAAATTGCATATGAAAAGCAAATACTCTTTTAGCAGTCAAATGTAGAATTATGCATAAAGAGCAATTCAGATCCTCCTTATGACAAATTTAAAAGGCCTTAATCTTATAAAGCACATCTCTCATCAATACAGCAAATCAATACTGGGCCATAAAGTAAACACATACTGCTTATTAGCACATTTTCTCAAAGCCTGGCATACAGTTTCTGTCTGGGTATGTGAAAACATGTATACGTGTGTATCTGCATGCTTTCTGTGTAAATACCAGTTTTACATTTACAGGCAAAATGTAATCTTAAATCTTAGGAATTTAGGAAAATGAGTTATTAGTATCCAATCATGAAGAAAAAGAAACTATTTTATTTTAGTTTTTTTTATTGTGGCAAACTTTTTGCCTTTTTTTTTTTTTTTTTAGAGGCAGAGTCTCACTTTATTGCCCAGGCCAAAGTGCAGTGGTGCAATTATGGCTCACTGTAACACCAGGCTCCTGGGCTCAAGTGGTCCTTTCACTTCAGCCTTCCACCTGGCTAATTAAAGAAGAAATTTGTAGATATGTGCCTTGTTATGTTGCCCAGTATGATCTCGAGGTCCTAACCTCAAGCAATCCTTCTGCCTCGGCTTCCCAAAGTGCTGGGATTACAGGTGTGAGCCACCTCGTCTAGCCCATTTTAACTATTTTTAGGAGTACAACTCAGTGGCATTAATTACATTCACAGTGTGAGCATCCATCATTTCTATCTATTTCCACAGCTTTTTCTTCACCTCAAATAGAGACTCTGTAACCATTCTCAGTAACTCTCCTTTCTCTACTCTCCTAAGCCTCTGGTAACCACTCATCTACTGTTTATCTCTATTAATTTATCTCTAGATGTTTTACATAATTGGAATAATACATTATTTGTCTTTTTGTGTCTGGCTTCTTACAGTTAAAATGCTTTCAAGGTTCATCCATATGTAACATATCGGGTCTGTGTTCCTTCTTATGGCTGAACAATATTCTATTGTATGTATACACCCATATTTTATTTATCCATTCATCCACTGATGGACATGAGTTGCTTCTACCTTTTGGCTACTGTAAATAATATTGCAATGAACATTTGTATACAAGTATCTGAGTCCCAGTTTTCAATTCTTTTTGGGTATATACCCATGAGTGGAATTGTGGGTCACACAGTAATTCTATTTTAATTTTCTGAGGAACTGATAAACTTTCCCACAGCAGCCTCACCATTTTAATTTCCACCAGCAATGAATGAACCCAGTTTCTTCACATATTCACTATTTTTTTTTTAAATAACAGCCATCCTGGTATGTGTGAAGTAGTATCTCACAGTTTTGATTTTTTTCCCCCAAGCCTGAGTCTCGTCAAATAATTAGACTGCAGGTGCAGCTCTCACACACTGCAGAGTACTAAGCACTATACGGTCATGGCATATGCAACTTTCATATGTTGATTTATGTTGTGTTGCGCTTCTCTAATCACTAATGATGCTGAGCATCTTTTTATGTGCTTATTGGCCTTTTGCACATGTTCTTCAGACTAATGTCTGTTTAAGCCCTTTGTCCATTTTTAAATTGGACTGTTCGTCTTTCTGTTGCTGAGCTGCAGGAGTTCTTTATATATTCTGGATTTTAAAGCCTTATTAGATATATGATTAAAAATACTTTCTCCCATTGTATAGACTCTTTCTTTTATTTTTTTCATAATGTTCTTTGATGTACAACCAAGTTTAAATCTTCAAGTCTGATTTATCTATTTGTATGGTTGTTGTTCCTCATATGTCATATCTAAAAGAATCCACCAAATTCAAGTTCATAAAAATCTGCCCTTATGTTTTCTCCTAAGTTTTTGTAGTTTTAGCCCTTATATTTAAGTCTTGGATCCTTCTGAGTTAAATTTTTATATGGTGTGAGGTAAGGGTCCAAGTTCTTTCATATGCATGTGGAAATCCAGTTGTTCCAGCACCACAGTTGAGAGACTATCCTTTCCCCTTACTTGGCACCCTTACTGAAATCACTTGGATTACTGTGTTTATTTCTGAACTCTCAGTTCGATTCTATTGGTCTATATGATTATCTTATGCCAGTACCACATTGTTTGATTACTATAGCTTTGTAGGTTTTGAAATTGGTAAGTGGGGGGTCTTCCAAATTTGCTCTTTTTCAAGTTTATTTTGGCTATTTAGGCCCCTTAAACTCACATCAATTTGAGGATTGGCTTTTCCAATTCTGCAAAAAAGGCTGCTGGCATATTGATAGGGATTGCACTGAATCTGTTAATGGCTTAGAGTAGTATTAACATCTTAACAATATTAAGTCTTCTAATCTAAAAACAAGGGACATCTTTCCATTTATTTGGGTTTTTAAAAATTTCTTTCAGCAAAATTTTTCATTTTTAATGTACAAGTCTTTCACCTCCTTTGTTAGATTCCTAGGCATTTTATTATTTTAGATGCTATTACAAATCGAATTGTTTTATATATTGTTTTATATGTTGATTTTCATAAAAATAATATAAAATTTGAAAAAAGAATCCATGAATTTGAAATGAATAGAGCATAAAGGTCATCTCATTAAATTCCCCTACTCAAAGCTAGAATTACTTTTAGAATATTTGTGTTAGGGGGCAGTCAAGAATAACTGACTGAGTACCTACAGTCACAGGCAATGTTATAACCCCTTATGAAGTCCGGTAAGGCCAATGGTTAGCAAGTTCTTATACAGAGCTGAAATTGTTTCCCCATGGATACAGTTCTATTAACCTAAGGTCATGTACAAATAAATCTAATTCTTTTGTCACATGGCTAACTTCTATGTATTTGAGGACAATGTTCATGGCTCTGAGTCTTTTCCTTCTTGGGAAAATAGCTGCGGTTCCTACAGCTACACCTATGGTGTAGTTTCCAATTCCTTATTTACTCTGTCTTTCTCTGAATGTGCTCCAGTTGTGGACATTTCTGTCCTATAGTAGACTGCCCCAAACAAACCTAATTCTCAGCAATATGGTCTGACCAGTAAATAGCAGAGTCAGATCATCTGCTTCCTCATTTTGCATATCGCAGTTCCACTGATCTAACTTTGGAGTGGAAAGTCCTAATTATATCATATTCATATACTAAATTGATATATAACATGGTTATACTTATGCATATGGTAATACAATAGTAATAAAAATAAATTTTTGTAATTTAAGTTTTATTTCAGGTGAATTATTAAGACAATTGGATCTGATTTTGCACAACCTAATTTTAATGTCTATACACTTGGATTTCGAAAAAGAAATGTATACAGAGGGTACATTTAACATATTTTGTATATATCATTTAAGATGATCTTGCTTATGGATAAAAGATGCTATCATTTCATTTTTCTGTGGACAGATTATTCTAAAGTTAATAAAGTACTAGGTTTATTATTGTAAAGCTATTATAAAACCTTTATTATAAGGTTCCTTCTTATTTACTACAAGAGAGTTTCCTTTTGTAAAGATGTATACTCACAGCTTGAAGAGTTCCTGAATAAGCAGGTTCATCTAGGAGGACATTATCTCCAGGGTTAATGATCATTTCAAATACCTAACAGAAGAAGCATAGGTTAGCTTGTTAGTCATCATAGCTTATTAACTATTTCCATGCTCAGAAGCCCATTTTTTTTTTGAGCTCACGTGATTTTAGAGTAAGAATTAGCAAATTGTTTACAAAGGGCCAAATGCAATATACTAAAATTTATGGAATACAGCAAAAGCAGTACTAAGAGGAAAGTTTATAGCAGTAAATGCCTGTATCAAGAAAGCAGAAAGACGTCAAATGAACAATCTAATGATGCACTTCAAGGAACTAGAAGAACCCAAAGGATAGGAGAAAATATTTGCAAACCACCCATCTGACAAGGGATTAACAACTCAATAGCAAAAACCCAAATAACCCCATTAAAAAATAGGCAAAAGATCTTAACAGACATTTCTAAAAGAAGACATAAAAATGGCCAACAGGTATAAGAAAAAAATGTTCAATATTACGAATGCAATCAGAAATGCAGATCAAAACCACAATGAGACATTATCTTACCACAGTCAAAATCGCTAGTTTCAAAAAGACAAGAAATAACAGATGCTGGTGAGGGTAGAGAAAGGGGAACCCTTGTACACTCTTGATGGGGACGTAAATTAGTACAGCCACTATGGAGAACAGTACAGAGGTTCCTCAAAAAACTGAAAATAGAACTACCATATAATCCTTCAATCCCACTGCTGAGTATAAATCCAAAACAAAAGATATCAATATATCAAAGCAGTATCTGAACCCCCATGTTTATTATAGCACTTATTCACAATAGCCAAAATATGGAACCAATCTAAATGTCCATCAGCAGATGAATGGATAAGAAAAACAGAAGTCCACACAATGGAATATTATTCAGCCATGAAAAAGGATAAAATCCTGTCATTTGCAGCAACATGGATAGAACTGGAGGTCATTACATTAAGTGAAATAAGCCGAGGACAGAAAGACAAATAGTGCATATTCTCCCTCATCTGTGGGAGCTAAAAAAGTGGATCCCATAAGGATAGAGAGTAGACTGGTGGTTACCAGAGGCTGGGAAGGACAGCAGGGATATAGGGTGAAGGAAGAAATAAAGAATATAAATGTACTTACTACCACTAAACTGTATACTGAAAAATAGCAAGGATGGCAAATTTTATATATGCATTTTATGGCAATAGAAAAAAATTAAAAATTAATTTAAAAAAATGGATGGGGAGATCAACAGTGTTCAAGAATATTGATTGCTAGGTCAAGTAATAGAAAGTTTAGGAAATGATGTGAATAATATGATCCCTACTGCAATCACTAGGGCCAGGCAATGATTTTTCCAGCTTATATCAAAGGGGTCTATGACGACTAAATCATACATAAGTCACAGAACAATCTCTTCTTAACTGGTGATATTTCACAATCCCCAGTTTGAGCTCTTTCTCCTATCCTGTTGACAACCCACATCTCACCACAAACAGTAGGACCATTAACAATTGAGACAGAAGATTTAACTTTTGTTCCCCAATTGGCCTGTGATGTTCAATTTACCTTTCCTTATGAGCTTTTGGCACCTAACGACAAACAGTAACCTCCTCTGAGAAAATTTTTAATTGACTTAAGCTTTACAGGACATCCTAGGACCAAAGGAATCACTTGGGTGGCATGTGGATATCAAAAGATCAAATGAAAATCTAATTAGAGTTGACCCTTGAACAACATGGATTTGAACTGCATAGGTTCTCTTATATGCAGTTTCTTCTGCCTCTGCCTCCACTGCCATAGCAAGACCAACCCCTCCTCTTCCTCCTTCTCCTCAGGCCAATCAACACGAAGATGATGAGGATGAAGACCTGTATAATGATCCACTTCCACTTAATGGTAAATACAGTTTCTCTTGCTTGTGACTTTCTATATACCATTTTATTTTCTCTAGCTTATGCTTTATTGTAAAACTACAGTATATAATACATATAAAATATAAAATATGTGTTAATTGATTATACTATCACTAAGGCTTCTCGTAAAGAGTACGCTATTAGTTATGTTTTGGAGGAGTCAAAAGTTATATGCAGATTTTCAACTGCATGGAGTCATCGCCCCAACCCCTACGTTATTCAAGGGTCAACTGTAAATACATTTTCCATGTCAATTAGGGGACATATAAGTTTCAAATATCCTAAATTAAAAGGGAAACTGTTTCTCATCTGGCAGTGTTATTTAAAAGAAGAGACAGAAGGACAGGAGCCTAAATAACACGACTACCTCACTTTGGAGAACAAGGTGAAGAAATATTAAACCAGATACACATTAGTGCCCCTGTAATAAGCATGCCTGTAACTAATGAGTTATGGATGTGTATATATATAGATTTGGCCATCTATGCTATCTTCCTTCTTTGCATAACTGGTGTTGTAAGGGATAAAGAAGAAACTGTCTTGAGCAACTTTCTGGAAGAAATAGTCCGTAGTATCCTTTCCTAAGGAAAGAATTTCACTGAAAAATACTCTCATATCATAAACGTTTGTATAATCACAAACGTTTCTCTTCAAGCAAAGACTCAAACAATAGCTAATTCTTTTACTATTCCTAATTAAATACAAAAAGGTAAGGTTTTTATTTTTTAATTTTTAAAAACTTTAAAAAATATTTTTAATATTGTAACCCATTATTCTGTAATAATAATTTAATTAAAAATTCATTAAAGCAAACCAGATTACAGTTTTCACATTTCCATGAAAAAAAAAGACTACTCTGGTTTAAGATAAAGAAAAATGGGAGTCATAGATTAATCTAGATCTAAGAATGAATACACAGAATCTTGCTATTTCATGGAAAGAAAAGGAGAAAATATTCCAGCACTTCGGGAGGCCAAGGTAGGCAGACTGCACGAGCACAGGAGATCAAGACCAGCCTATGCAACATGGCAAAACAATAAAAATTAGCTAGGCATACTGGTGTGCACCCGCAGTCCCAGCTACTTGGGAGGCTAAAGTGGGAGAACTGTTGGAGTCCAGAGAGGTCCAGACTGCAGTGAGGTGTGATTGTGCCATTGCATTCCAGCCTGGGTGACAGGGTGAGACCCTGTCTCAAAAAAGAAAAGAAAGAAAAATAAGAGGAGAAGGAAAGAAGGAAGGAAGGAAGAAAGGAAGGAAGGAAGGAAGGAAGGAAGGAAGGAAGGAAGGAAGGAAGGAAGGAAGGAAAGAAGGAAAATAAAATCACAGGTTAAACTGAGGACCACAGATGTGGCCTCTTTATTGTGGCAACTAACCCGTGGTGTTTACATCTGTGGAGTTCCTGGAACCCAGAAGGGAGGAAGATGGAATAAGTAATGCCAGTAGGAGAGGGAGGGAGAGAACTAATTCATGTAAATTAAGTCGGAGACACACATATAAACAGATCTAGAGAAATACAGCGAAGAGGGGGACAAGATACAAGCAGTGGCAAGCACAGAGATTCCATGGACAGATAGGCAAAGGAAGATAAATACTTTTATCTAACGAGTATGAAGGTGTGCCCTCTAAAAAGTTTAAAAATCATATTGAAATTTCATAACTAGAGGCAGAAATCAAATGTAACCTGAATTTTCAAGCCAGATGAAATTAAGCGGTGTTCGCTAAACTTTCAGTAGGAGTTCAGTACTCCCTTAACCAGCTTTAATGGTTAATAGGTTTGGGTAACTGACCACAGGATCTGTATTTAATATTTAAGGAAGATTAGGCTAGTGAATGATGTTAAGAGCAGATAAGTTTTCACAGTCCTTGGGTTCACAAGGAGGAAAACTAGGAGGAAAACTAGGGGGAAATACTGACAGGATCAACCTATAAGATTTCCTCCTGGCTTTTGCTTACAGTCAACACCCCTACTCACCCTTACCATCCCCAGCCACAACTGCTCTCACCCCCATCCTATGACTTGTCTTTTAGTTCACTGTTTATAATTCTAGGTGAAGACAAAGAAAGACTACCAGTAATCCATAAAATATGATCCTCTGTGGTTAAGTGGGAGAGGACTATATAAATGAATGCTTCCAATTCTACACTTTGGCTGACTTTTCCTTCAGTCTTACCTTACAAAGACCCTGTTGGCTGCCAGATGTGACACACAGGTCCATTTGTCCTTGACTGGGTGGATAATGGATGGTAGGAGGATTATGCAATTTTATTTGAAACTGTTTTAACCAGGACACAAGCTCTGGAATTCTAAAGCATAAAATGTATTTTTAAATTCATAGTAGTAAAAATCATAGTAATTAGTAGTAGACAGGAAATAATAAATGACAGCTTTATCAAGCATTTTATACACTCACTTAAAAAACCCTGTAATGCTTTTTGCTAGTATTAATATTCCCATTCAAAAGACAGGCAGTAGACTTAGAGATTAGGAAATTCCCACAAAGGTAATCAGCCAGAAATTGTCATAAAGTCAATTCTGTAATCAATGAGCCGAGATTTGAATCAACATTTTTCTTATTCCAAACCTGTAGTCTTTCACACCAGAGCACTCACTGCATAATCAATTCTTTATTCTCTCTAGGAAGAGGTCTATGGCTACCTAGAAGTTCAGGCTCAATAAGTTGTTTGTATCATGGAATATTAGAAGAAACCTGTGTATATTTAATATATTATATAACATATATACAGACATGAATAACATATTTCAATATACTTTTAAATCACAGAACAAAGGTTTTAATAAAGTATATTTTATAGATTCTCCATAAATTATCCTTTATCACTGGAAGAAGACCAGCTAAAGTAAGTCATAAGATAAATATTTCAGCTTGCCTTAGAGAAATTAAAGACATTTGAAACCATGAGGGCAATGTATTTGCACAGCTGTTTGTTTAGAAAGGGATTAAAAAATTGCCTGGGGACTTAAAATTGCTGCTTCCTCGATCCTCCATTTTTCTCCTGATATGTTTACTCACCTGGGTACCTTATTATTTTGGACTCAGCTCTCATGGTACCTCCTTCTAGAAGCCTTCATTTGAGGTTGAGACGCAATCACTGAGGAGTTTTAAGCATTCAATATCCTTTTTGCTCTTAATCATCCTTTGAAAACCTTTCCCCAGCCCTTCCTAACCACTGAATTCTCACTGAATACTCACAGGGTTAGTATTCAGTGACCAAGTGAGTATTTGGAATGACCAAATAGGTCAATGGGACTTAAAATATTTATCACTAGGCCTTAGAATATTTCTTTAGAATTCTTTATCATTGGGCCTTAGAATACTTCTCATGAAAATGAGCCAATAAGATTATGTTACATATCGATACCTACCCAGCAGTCGGAGAATACTGAAGTGCTTTCTTCATCAACTCTTCTCCAAATTGGAGGGTCTTTCCGTTTTCTACAGCGATCACAGCAGTCTTAAAAGGAAACATGTTTGGATTGGGTAAGCCACCAGCCAAGGAGATCATCGATTTCGGTCCTCTGCTCAATATATCGGCTACAATAAACATGGAAAGAGAGGAAACAATTTCGTTGAAGACTGCTACAAGCAGAGAGTTAAGCATGCATTATAGTCAATAAAATCACAAAGTTGAACGATTTCTAGTGACAGAATGTGCTATGGTCTAAACGTTGGTGTTACCCCCAGATTCATTCTTGGAACTTAATACTCGTGATAGTTTTAAGAGGAGGGATCCACCCTCCTGAATGGCACTGGTGCACTTACAAGAGGGCTGAGGGAAAGCCCTTGGCCCTTCTGCCAAGTGAGGACACAGGCTCCCCCTTCCACATGATGCAGCAAGAAGGCTCTGTCTGTAAGGAAGGGCTCTCACCAGACACACAATCTGCTGTCACTTTGCTCTTAGACTTCCTAGCCACCAGAACAGTGAGAAATAATTCTATGATGTATAAATGATCCAGTGTGTGGTATTTTGTTATAGCAGCGTTTATGGACTAAGACGAACGCTAGTCTCAAATAAACATACAGAATAACTTTTCCTGAGCCGGCCTCAGCTGCACTGGAACTAAAGCATGAAGGTGACCAAAGAGAAGGCAGAGGGGTCAGGAAGAGTGCAAAGGGCTCCAACAGCAGAAGCCTCCTCCTTCCCTTAGCCCCGACCTCCGACCTGCTTCCCGTCCCGCCCTCCCCCTACCCCCCCCCCCCCCGCCCCGTGTCCCATTTACCCAGCCTTCTCCCCTGCACACCCATCTGCACGTGGTGTGGTGCCTGCCCCTCCTCAGCTTCCCAGGAAGAGCCTTTCTGGAGAGCACGCGCCCCCCCCCCACCCCCCGCCTCCCAAGGACGTGTCCCACAGCGGTCTGCGCCTCGCGCTCGGCTCCAGTCTCAGCCCGGGTTTTTTGAGAACAAAGGCTATTTTATTTCTGCATGCAGAGCCCGGCTCACCACCAGCGTGCACAGGGGCACGCGTGGATGCAACCCAGCGGGAGCTTGCTAGGGACCCCCCCACTCCCCTTAGAGGCTGCGCTGGGAAAGCCCCACCCCCCAGGGGGGAGGCTCGCCCCGTTTCTTACTCATGGCCCGGATGGGAGAAGGGTTTCTGGCTGCGCTCGCGGCCGTGATGAACCGTGTGTAATTCATGTCTCTGACGGCCAAGCATCAAGCTCCTGCTTCCGTGGTGGAGGACTAGAAAAACCAAAGAGCCCCGTCAAGCGCGGCCTGCGACCTCCTCACTCTGGCAACGCCACCGCCAGTTGTCCCCCCGCTGCGTCCGGCTTCCCGAGCGCGGGACCCAGAGCAAGCCGCCGAAGCTCCACAGCTGGACGCTGCGTTCGGTCTCCCGGTCCTAAACGGCTCCGGGGCTGGGGGCGAGTCCGGCAAAATCCACGCCGCACGCTCCGGCGACCGCCAGGGCCCAGGCCGGTTCTGCCCCGCCGCGGGCCTCGCCGCGCCCCCTCCCGCCCCGCGCCGTGGCCTATGGCCGCCCGCCGCGCGCGCCTCCCTGTCCGTGATCATCGCCCTCAGAGCGCAGGGCGCGCGGAGGGGAGCCCGGGCGCTAGGTGCATGCAGCTCGAGGTCAGGGACTCTTGACCTCGCCGCTGGGAATCACCGCCACCCGCCATCCGCGTTGGCCTGGAGGCTCACCCCGGGGCCGCCCGGGGGGAACGGAAGTGGCCGCGATCCTAATCCTGGGGCACCACCTGGCGGCCGCTGGGGTCCACTGCAGGGGGCTCCGGGAGCTGCGTGGGGCCTGCTGCGGCCCCGCCCTTTTTCCCCGCGTGCCCGGCTGGCCTCCGCTCGTCCTGGGGACTGTGCATTTTTCCCGCTCAGACAGTGGCTGTGCTAAATTCTCATTTTTTTATTAGTGAAACTCTAGACACTCTCCTGGGAAGCACCCCGGCGACTCAAACGAATTCCAACATCAATTTCACGAAGATCTCAGCATTTTGGAGTGACGATGGAGTTCTGACAAAAATTATTGAAGAATCACTCTAAGGGTCTCTTTGATTTTAGTGTTTACCCTCGCATTGAATTTCTGACCTTTCGTTACATAAGAATTAGGTTGGAAGTGAATATCCGCATCTTTTTGGGTCCAGCACCTTGCCTTTTTTTTTCCTTACAAAATAATCCTCCTCATTCCCCACCTCCCTCAACTTTTCTGCAACTTCTCCTTCCTGAATCACCAAAATGAATTGTACAGCGTTTTATGTGAGCACTTAATGACGGAAGGGTTTCGGACATCCTCTCTCTCTCTCTCTTTTTTTTTAAAAAAATCCTTTAATGAGTATTAAAATGAATGAACTGCATTCATTCTAATCAGTACTAATTTATTGAGTACTTCCTGGGTGATTATTGACTCACTGTCTAATGGCTCTCTTTAAAGCTTTATTTGTGTTAGCCAGGATGGTCTCGATCTCCTGACCTCCTGATCCACCCACCTCAGCCTCCCAAAGTGCTGGGATTACAGGTGTGAGCCACTGCAACCTTCCCCCCAGTAAAATCTTTATGTGAGCAGCTACATAACCAAAAGGGAGTATCATTACTAAAACTACTAGAAACCCAAGAGGCAAGATGCTGCTGGATGCAGAGGCTTCAAGTAGTTGAAATCCCACTTGATGGTTTAACAGCTAGGTGTCTTTGGACAAGTTACTTAACCTTTCTGGGTCTTGGTTTTCTCCCAGGCCTGTTGGCAGGAATAAATTCAGTATCTGTATTAAACGAATCAGTGCAGTGGTCTGCACACTGTAAAAACACTCAAAGAACATTGGCTGCTTTTGTTAGTAACAAATGCTTTTAAGCAAACATTAAGGACTCAGTCCCCAAATATTTTTGGCTAGAGAAGCTATTTGGTAACTTTGAAGACATATTATGTTTTCAGTTAATCTGTGCACACAGATCTTTATCTATTTGAGCTTGTCCATTCTGGAGGTAGTTGTCCTTGAATGAATGTTTGCTAGAAGATAACTCAAGAAGCACTAAAAACATCAAAATAAGGTGTAGATCAAGGTTAATTATCAAGGTTAATTATGATTTGTAGCCAGATATATTGATGTTCCTGGGGACTTCAGGCTTTTCTTGGCAGGAAGCGGACTCTAACTGAGCATGGTTTCTTCAGATACTGAGTAGAAAATTACATGGGGTTCCTCTTGCATGTAATCCCAGCACTTTGGGAGGCCAAGCTGGGTGGATCACCTCAGGTCAGGACTTTGAGACCAGTCTGGTCAACATGGCAAAACCCCATCTCTACTAAAAAATACAAAAATGAGGAACAGATCCACAAAGGCTGAATAGGAGCAGCTCTGGAGTGCAGTTCCCAGCGGGAACGCAGAGGCCGCTCCAGGTTATCCCCAGGCAAGCAGGGTCTGGAGTGGACCTCCAGCAGTCCAACAGCAGAGGGGCCTGACTGTTAGAAGGAAAACTAAAAAACAGAAAGAAATAGCTACATTATCAACAAAAAGGATGTCCACTGGGAGATCCCATCCAAAAGTCACCAACTACAAAGACCACAGGTATATAAATCCACAAAGATGGGAAGAAACCAGCACAAAAAGGATGAAAACACCCAAAACCAGAACACCTGTCCTCCTTCAAGGGATCACAACTACTCACCAGCAAGGGAACAAGGCTGGATGGAGAATGAGTCTGATGAATTGACAGAAACAGGCTTCAAAAAGTGGGTAATAACAAATATCTTTGAGCTAAAAGAATATGTTCTAACCCAATGCAAAGAAATTAAAACCTGAAAAAATGTTTGACAAAATGCTAACAAGAATAAACAGCTTAGAAAAGAATATAAATGAATTGATGGAGCTGAAAAACACAACATGAGAACTTTGTGAAGCATACACAAGTTTCAGTACTCAAATCGACCAAACAGAACAAAGGATATCAGAGATTGAAGATCAACTCAATGAAATAAAATGAGAAGGCAAGATTAGAGAAAAAACAGTGAAAAGAAATGAATGAAGCCTCCAAGAAATATGGGATTATGTGAAAAGACCTAATACATTTGATAGGTGTACCTGAATGTGATGGAGAGAATGAATCCAAGCTGGAAAACACTCCTCAGGATATTATGCAGGAAAACATCCCCAACCTAGCAAGGCAGGCCAATATTCAAGTCCAGGAAATACAGAGAACACCACAAAGATATTCCTCAAGAAGATCAACCCCAAGGCACATAATCTTCAGATTTACCAGGGTTGAAATGAAGGAAAAAGTGCTAAGGGCAGCCAGAGAGAGAGGTTGGGTTATCCACAAAGGGAAGCCCATCAGACTCACAGTGGATTTCTTAGCAGAAACCCTACAAGCCAGAAGAGAGTATTTAGCATCCTTAAAGAAAAGAACTTCTAACTTAGAATTTTATATCCAGCCAAACTAAGCTTCATAAGTGAAGGAGAAATAAATTCCTTTATGAACAAGTAATTGCTCAGAGATTTCTTCACCACCAGGCCTGCTTTACAAGAGCTCATGAAAGAAGCACTAAACATAGAAAGGAAAAACCAGTACCAGCCACTCCAGAAATGTACCAAATGGTAAAGAGCATTGAAACAATGAAGAAACTGCACCAACTAATGGGAAAAACAACCAGCTAGCATCAAAATGGCAGGATCAAATTCACACATAACAATATTAATCTTAAATGTAAATGAACCAAATGCCCCAATCAAAAGACACAGACTGGCAAAATGGATAAAAAGTTAAAATCCCTCAGTGTACTGTATCCATGAAACCCATGTCACATGCAAGGATACACAAAGCCTCACAATAAAGGGATGGAGGAAGATTTACCAAGCAAATGGAGAGCAAAAAAAAGCAGAAGTTGCAATACTAGTCTCTGATAAAATAGACTTTAAAGCAACAAAGATCAAAAGAGACAAAGAAGGACATTACATAATGGTAAAAGGATCAATACAACAAGAAGAGCTAATGATCCTAAATATATACACACCCAATACAGGAGATACATAAAGTAGTTCTTAATGACCTCCAAAGAGACATAGACTCCCACCCAATAATAGTGGGAGACTTTAACACTTCACTGTCAATATCAGACAGATCAATGAGACAGAAAATTAACAAGGATATCCAGGACTTGAACTCAGATCTGGACCAAGCAAACCTGATAGACATCTACAGAACTGTCCACCTTAAATCCACAGAATATGCATTCTTCTCAGCACCACATGACACCTACTCTAAAATTGACCATATAATTGGAAGTAAATCACTCCTCAGCAAATGCCAAAGAATGGAAATCATAACAAATAGTCTCTCAGACCACAGTGCAATCAAATTAGAACTCAGGATTCAGAAACTAACTCAGAACAGCACAACTTCATGGAAACTGAACAACTTGCTTCTGAGTGTTGACTGCATAAACAATGAAATGAAGGCGGAAATAAAGATGTTCTTTGAAACCAACAAGAATGAAGACACAATGTACCAGAATCTCTGGGACACATTTAAAGCAGTCTCCAGAGGAAAATTTATAGCAATATATGCCCACATGAGAAGCAAGGAAAGATCTAAAATTGACACCCTATCACCAAAATTGAAAGAGCTAGAGGAGCAAGATTTAAAAAACTCAAAAGCTAGCAGACGACAAGAAATAACTAAGATCAGAGCAGAACTGAAGGAGATAGAGACACAAAAACCCTTCAAAAATTAATAAATCCAGGAGGTGGTTTTTTGAAAAAAGCAACAAGATAGGCAGACCACTAAGCAGACTAATAAAAAAAAAAAGGAAGATCAAATAGATGCAATAAAAAATGATAAAGGGGATATCACCACTGATTCCACAGAAATACAAACTACTATCAGAATTACTGCAAATACCTCAATGCACACAAACCAGTAAACCCAGAAGAAATTGATAAATTCCTGTACACATGTGCCCTCCCAAGCCTAAACAAGGAAGAAGTTGAAAACCTGAATAGACCAATAACAAGGGCTGAAGTTGAGGCAGCAATTAATAGCCTACCAACCAAAAAAAGTCCAGGGCCAGATGGGTTCACAGCCGAATTCTACCAGACATACAAAGAGGAGCTGGTATCACTCCTTCTGAAACTATTCCAAACAATCCAAAAAGCAGGAATCCTTCCCAAATCATTTTACGAGACCAACATCATCCTGATACCAAAACTTGCCAGAGACTCAACAAGAAAAGAAAACTTCAGGCCAATATCCATGATGAACATCGATGCCAAAATCTTCAATAAAACACTGGCAAACTGATTGCAAGAGCACATCAAAAAGCTTATCCATCACGATCAAGTAGGCTTCATCCAGGGGATGCAAGGCTGGTTCAACATACGCAAGTCTATAAATGTAATTCACCACATAAACAGAACCAAAGACAAAAACTGCATGATTATCTCAATAGATGTAGAGAAGGCCTTTGACAAAATTCAACAGTCCTTTATGCTAAAAACTCTCAGTAAAATAGGTATTGAAGGAATGTATCTCAAAATAATAAAAGCTATTTATGACAAACCCACAGCCAATATCATACTGAATGGGCAAAAACTGGAAGCATTCCCTTTGAAATCTGGCACTAGACAAGGAAACCCTCTCTCACCACTCCTATTCAATATAGTACTGGAAGTTCTAGCCAGAGCAAT